CTTTGAACAAACTTTCTGAGTCACTGTATTTAATTCTTTTAATCATTTTAATGTAATTTAGTAATTAAAAGGTCACACAATTGTTCTTATAAAACAAAATTATTTTTTAAATATACAAAGAAAAAATTTAATTTAGTTAAATGTTATACCTACATCTCATATGTTATAATATATTCATTGATCATTCAGTGAAATAATTAATATTCATGCAGCGTACTGAGTAAAATTTTATATACGAGATAATTCATTTAATACATTATACAAAGTACAAATACTTTAATATTTATTTTTGTAGTGACTTTTATGTACATAAACAATCTTCAACAATGAAAATTTCATAAAAATTACGCTTTCTATATTATGTTGTCGCAATTATTATGAAATTCCATACTTGTTACGTCTCTTACATTTTTTTACATTTATCTTAATAATAAAAACGAACATGTTAAATGAAACATAAAACGAGTATAGTTGTCCCGAAATGAATTAAGCCAAATAGAATGCATGTGCTGCCAGAAGATAAGAGAATGAAGCAACTTGTGGATTTTCCACCATCTGTTTTGAGAAAAATAATGGAACAGAAGACTTCACAAATGCATGATGTACTACTAATATTATAGTTTTCAGAGTTAAAACGCAGTTGATTTATTTTCAAATTAGACCTTTCTTATCCTGTTCGACCCTATGCATTTATCTTTTTTGAAGTTAATTCATTACAGGAAACCTATACAAAAATATTCTATGTTTTTCAAAATGTAAGAAAATGACACTGTACGTTACCATAGTATGTACACTTGATAAATTATGTTATCACAATATGGAACGTCGTTGCAGTTAATCGATCATTCTTTGATCACATTCAATATTTATGTATATAGTAATCAAACGTACAAACTATGTGTAAACTGTATTCACATGTGTGTATGTATATATGGTTATTTTTGCAAAGGTTAGAATTTCATTTTGTACAATTTATCTGCACATATAAAAAAAATATAATAAAATAAAAATATTTTAAAGTACTTCCATACTATCTACATCGATACCAATATCAAGGAAATCTTCCCTGTAGTCTTGAATGTGTCTTTGTACAAGTGGATGTTCAGAATGATCTGGATCATCTGTTACAGGGCTCGGTGGTGGATTTGTAACTGTACGATCAGAATCCATAGGCATTCTATCCATGCCTTCACCACGTCTCAATCTTGCTTCTTCGGCTATTTCTTTTGTGGAAAGTTCCGCTTTCGTTAAAAGAGCAGGCAAATCCTTTTCCGAACCATCTATATTAAAATTATTTTTGTTACATTTTTTTCTTTAAACAATATTGGGGGAAACATAAAACAACACTTACTTTCTAGACACTTAATTAACTCTTGTGCTTTTTGTCTTCTAGCATTAGCATCAGCTTTTTTTTGATCACCATGCTCTTTTTTGTCATAATAAAAAATTTCTCTGATTTTTTCTTGTGGAATATGTTCATCATTTTTTACTAACCATAGATAAACTCCACCTGCAGTTCTTCTTCGAGATCCATTCATTATTAAAATACCACCTCCTTCTTCGATTTTTTTTGTTTTTTGAAAAAAATCAATTGCTTTTTCTTTACCAATTATATCCACGATTCTTCCTACAAACAGTATGCATGTATAATTTAGCT